TGCAACTGGAGACCATACTCATAAGTGAAATAAATCAGATCTCCATGTATAAGCATCATACTGTCTCACTAGGTACAATAGTTACTGTAAAAGGGAAAAAAACTGTTAAAAGATAAAGAACAATTGGGATGAGGGGAAGAGGGAAAAAAGAATGAAAGGAAAAATATGTATGTATATGCAAAGGATAGCTTGGATAATTGTGCTGATTCCTGCTGATCTATTATAAGAAGCAATTAATGCTTAAATGTTTTTTTCTCTCTCCTTTTTAATTGTTTATGATTTTTGTACAAATTTTTCATGCTTATAGCTGGTACTCTGAACAACTAATTTGAAGACAGCAATACTCAGTATAACAACTGTTGTTGAATTCCTATTATATTATTTAGTGAAATTCTGTATCATTTCTAATTTTTTTGTACTATATATTCTCTTTCCAAAAAAAAAAAAAAAGCAAAAACAAAATACAACAACAAAAGAAAGAAAAAAAGAAAGTCTTGGAAACAACTCAAATGCCCAAACGAGGAATGGATAAAAAAAAAAAAAAATGTGATGTTTTATACAATGAAGCACTACTCAGCTATAAAAATGACAAACTTGAGACATGTATAGGGAAGTAGATATGATTTGAGTTCATACTTTTAAATGAAATAAATCAGTTTTGCTAGTATAAACATTGTATGCTTTCCCTAGTGTAAGATTCTGAAAGAGTAAATAAGACCCAAAATGCACAATAGATATTGTGAAATGGAAAGAAAACGTTTAAAAGGACAGAGATACTGGAATGGGGGAAAGGAGAAAAGAAAGAAGGAAGAAAGGATGGCTGGAAGGAAGGAAGGAATATACACACATCCAACATAGTAAAGATAATTACATTACCAATTGTTATTAGCTCATTGAAAGGAAAGATATATGCTTGTATTGATTGTTCAATTTTTCATGTCTAAATCTTGTAATATGAGTAACTACTTTGAAGATAACAATATGCAATGCAATAACTATTGTCACTGTCCTACGACCTTGTTTTGAAATTTTAAAACCTTGTGTTTATTTTTTATTTTTCTTTTCTCTAAAACAAAATAATTAGAAAATTAAAAATCAACAAAAATAAAAGTAAGGCGGCGCGGGGAGGCCGCTGAGCATCGGGGCCGCTCGACCGCGGGCCTCCGCCAGCGCCGCGGTATGTAGCGCCGGGGACCGCGGGCTCCAGCAGTGCCTGCCCGCTCGCCCGGCCGCAATTTTCCCGCGGCTGGCTAGGGGCGGGGCTCGGCCCGAGCGCTCAGACGGCGCAGCCTCTACCCGCGCGGGGACAGCCCGCCCTGAGGTCCCGCGGGTCCCGGCGCCGCGCGGGAGCCGGCCGGGCCTCGGTTTCCCCGCCCTCGCGCTGTGAACATTTCTGGCCCCTCCCGCGCGCGCAGCCTCCGGTCGGCTTGCGGAGCGCAGCCTGCGTGCGGTTGGGCCCCTCGGCCGGCCGGCTGTCCGTGGCTCGCAGCAGCCTTGTGTCTGCCATTACAGGGAGATCTCTGCCCCTTGGGGCTGAGAGACCCCAACCTACCCCAACTGAAGCTGCAAAACCTTGAGGTACCAGCCAGATGTTTTCCCACAAAGGATCTGTTGGGGCACAGGGCAATGGGACTCCTGCCAGTAACTGGGAAAATGACACAGTGGAACTGGCTGAACTGGGACCTCTACTAGAAGAGAAGGGCAAGCGAGCAATCGCCAACCCAACCAAAACCAAAGACGAGCAAACATGCCCTATGCCTCAGGAAGAAGAGGAGGAGGTGCGCGTGCTGACACTCCCCCTGCGGGCCCACCATGCCATGGAGAAGATGGAAGAGTTTGTGTAGAAGGTCTGGGAGGGACGCTGGAGGGTCATCCCATACGATGTGCTCCCTGACTGGCTAAAGGACAGTGACTACCTATTACATGGCCAGAGACCACCCATGCCCTCCTTCCGGGCTTGCTTCAAGAGCATCTTCTGTATCCACACAGAAACTGGAAACATCTGGACCCATCTACTTGGTTTTGTGCTCTTTCTCTTTTTGGGAATCCTGACCATGCTCCGACCAAGTATGTACTCCGTGGCCCCACTGCAGGAGAAGGTGGTTTTGGGGACGTTCTTTCTGGGTGCAGTGCTCTGCCTTAGCTTCCCCTGGCTCTTTCACACTGTCTATTGCCATTCAGAGAAAGTCTCTCGGACTTTTTCCAAACTGGACTATTCAGGGATTGCTCTACTGATTATGGGGAGCTTTGTCACTTGGATCTATTATTCCTTCTACTGCTCCCTACAGCCTCGGCTCATCTACCTCTCCATCGTCTGTGTCCTGGGCATTTCTGCCATCACTGTAGCAGAGTGGGACTGGTTTGCCACTCCTAAGCACCGGCAGACAAGAGCAGAAGTGTTCCTGGGACTTGGTTTGAGTAGTGTTGTGCCCACCATGCACTTTACTATTGCTGAGGGCTTTGATAGGCCACCACTGTGGGCCAGATGGGCTGGTTCTTCCTCATGGCTGTGATGTACATCACCGGCACTGGCCTTTATGCTGCTCATGTTCCTGAGCACTTCTTTCCTGGAAAATTCGACATACGGTGCCAGTCTCATCAGATTTTCCACTCTTGGTGGTAACAGCAGGCTTCGTCCACTTCTATGGGGTCTCCAACCTGCAGGAATTCCATTACAGCCTGGAAGGTGGCTGTACTGACAACTCCCTGCTCTGAGCCTTCCCACTCACGTGGTGGAGGAGCAACTTCCCAAGTGCTTTTAAAGACAACTTCTTGCTGAAATGAGAGGAAGACTCTGAGTTGTCTGTTTCTACAAGAAACCTCTTAGAGAATCAGTACCAATCATGCGTCAGCTCACTCTTGACAGCCTCTGAGCACAGACTTTCCATTTCCATTCCCCAGCTGGGGAGGGTGCAGAGGGCCAACCTAGTCACTCCCTGCTCTGCAGCACCCTTCTTGGCAAAGCAACTACTGGTCCCTCCAGAGACAGAACTTTGAAGCTCATGTTGAGATTGTATCCCCTTCCTCCAACCACTTTGGGAAAAAGTTATGGACTGGGACACTTCAGAAATTGGTTTTCTTTTTTTTTTTTTCCTTTTCTGAAAGAAAAATGTCCCTCCTTTCCCCCCATCCCTACTTTGTAACCTGGCTTATAACAGGCCATACGTTTTTCTAGCACACTTTTCAAAAATGATTATAACCTGGTCCATCTTTCTAGGGCCTAGATCTGCTTTACACAGCAGGAATAATAAAGCCACCAACTTTTACATAGCCCTGCTAATCATGAAAGTGTGTCCAGGGTTCAGATAACTTGAGATTTAATTTTTTTTTTGACAGAGTAATGTACAATTAAAATGGGGAAAGATATTTAATATTTAATACTAAGCTTTATTTATTTTTATTTATTTAATTTTTTTCTTGTTTTCTTTTATTTTTTGCCATAATTTTATTGATAAATAGCAATGAGACAGTTTCAAATCAAATCGGTAGGACAGTTTCAATAATTAACACACTGCATACATTCTTCTTAGTGGTTAATTGCTGTACAAAACACGGACCTGACATCCCATTTACAATCACCATTAGAACAAATCGTTCTATTCATTAAGAGAATAACTATATATCTATCCCAATCTCTCTGAATACACAGATACAAAAAGGACATTCATCTGTATACCTTTTTTTTTGTTAAGTTCCATTATTTGAATATTATAGGTGTGTAAACTAAGCAAAACATTCCAAAAGAGTCCAACAGCCCACAATAGTATTGGGTCTTCTGCTTCACTGGCAATGTCACAAATTGATGACCTGAGTCCCCCACAGCTCAATATAACAGCATGGCTTTACTTCTTATATTTCGTTTTTATACTTTTCTTCTGGATGGTTGAGACCAAGGTAAAGCAGGACCTATGCAACAAGAGTTGTAGCTTTTGG